AAGGAAGTCATTGACCAAACAATAGTAATAACAGGTTGAAGTTAAGTCTAGACTATTTTCCTCGTGGGAACGATCCTAACCTCACTAGTTGGGTTATTTACTTGACATGACCGCTTTACTTCTTATTTGAGAAGTAAGTTTGAGCGTATCAATAGACTACCCTGATAGATACTAGATTACTGTAACACCCTAGAAATTTTTTCAAACTATGACTCGAATCTTTCATCATAGTGAGTGATATTTTACCAAGAAAGTAAAAGTTTCTTAAGTATTAAGGTCAGTTAACTAGATTTAGCACCAAGAGTTTCAAAAAAAAAAGAACTAAACTGGAAATAGCAAAATCTGAAATTTTGAGAGTTAAGTTAAGTATGAGTTTTAGATCAAATTAAAACGACCATAACTAGTACATGATGAGTTAGCTGTGATACAAGATACCATAGGAAATATCTTTGGATTATATTTCCAACACCGTTGAGTTTGATAAGTTTAGAGTTTGGATAAGTGAGATATGACCTCTTGAAGTTAGGCTGTCTTGTTAAGGAAAGTTAGCCAAAAATAGTGAGGGGTATTTTGGTCCTTTCCTTACACAATAAGATTTAACTCTTTTGTAGTAATACTTTAGAGTTATAATCCTTTTACGTTTAGTTTTATAATCCTAATATACACCTAGAATTTTAGTTGAGATTTCAAGAAGAGAAGAGAAGAGAAAAGATGAAAGGATTAAGGCGTTCATCGACATTCTTGAGTTTAGTTGATGATTTTCTCCATGGGTTTAATACCTCAAAGGTATGTAAGCTTCCATAGTGTTGGTTTCTTTCATCCACACGCCAATCATGATTTATTCCGCTTACTTTCGTTCTTGAAATTTAAGGATTTAAGTTCTTGACAAGTGTTCTTGAAGTTTTATCAAGTTTTGATTTAAGATTCTACTTGGGTCAACTTTAAATGAGCATATCTATTAGAATATTAAGAGTTACGTGAATCATAACCTATTCAATTAAAGATGATTGAATCTGCTTTCCATCACCATCAATTTTGCGTCAATCCAATTTCTGAGTAAAATGTTATGACTATTTTATTAACCTATATAGTGTTGTTACGAATTAGCCGACGAGAGAATATTAAAAAGGATTTTTTTTTCCGCCAAGAAAAGCCTAAATGAATTTCTTGACTAATAAAGGGCTAGAAAAGATTAGATTTTCATGTTCACTAATGAAAATCATAATTCTTTGTCATAGATATTTGAAGAAACTAATTCAAGAATCTCAAGAAAGGTTTTCTTGATTGTTTACCTTCAAGCTAGGGTTTCAAGGATTCTAATCAAGTTCTTCTTCAAGGTTCTTCAAGAATCTTGTTCTTATAGGTATGTAAGTCTATCATAGTGTTGTACTAGTTCATCCTGACGCCCTACATCTACTTTTAGATTAGTATAAAATAATCTAGGATTCTACCCCTAGATTTGAGTATTGTTGAGATAAGGTGATTTTGAGTTCTTGAGTCATGTTTCTTTTAAAATTTTTGTTCATAATTACCGCTATATTGTTTAAGTTCAATTGTGAATTCTTTTAGATCCATGATTGATTAAGTTTTGAGAAAGTAAACAATAGAATGAGAAGAGTCATATGCATGAGTTCCATGTAGTTTGTAGACCTTCGAGTCGACTCGTTTATGCCCATAAATTCTGCATGGACTTCAAGAATTGAGTATCTTTGAGAGAATTTGTATCTTCAAGTTCTAAGTATTGAGTATTGAGTTTTTAATCTCCTTTGAGATTATATTTCTAATCATTGAACTATTACAAGTTACCCATGAAAAACCTTGAGTTAAATTGTCCATGCCCATAATTCTGCATGAACCCTATAAGTCGAACAATCTTGAGATGAGGAGTACTTTTGAGTACTCGATTTGAGTAGTTCATGATCATAATTCCGCATGAACCCTTCAAGTTGAAAACCATGAAATCATCTATAAACATGAGATCATGAACCTTGAATCCATACTTCAATTCAAGGAAAGTTAAGAGTCAAGTTTAGAAGTTAAGAAGCAAGTCAAAACAAATTTTATAAAGTTCTCAAAAGTCTTTTACAAACATTTTAGCTTTGCTTTAAGACTAAAAGTTTCAAGTTAAGATAAGAGTAAAGAGTTGAGTTGAGTTCTCAAAAAGTTATAGGGAACTAAGTATTCCCAAAGGATTCATAAATGTTTTCACATTTAAGATAAGAGGAAACTGAGATTTCCAAAGAGCCTCTGGGCTAGTTTTCAAAAGAGAGTAAGAGCATTCTAAATGAAGCAACAAGGGAAGCTGAGATTTCCAAGATAGCCTTTGAGCTAAGTTTTTGAGCACTAATATGAAATCACAGAAGAAGTATGTTTTCAAAACATAAGAGCTAGTATATTTTAGGAGTAGTATTGAACACCGAATTGGTGGCGAGCATGAGTTCAAATAACTCATGTCTCCAAAAAGCCATGTAGCCATCATGGGTAGAAAAGGGTCATACTTTTTAGATGAATCTTTTTCACATTAGACTAGTCTATCCACTAAGTTAAGTAGGATCCTATACTGACGGCAAGGTATATGATGGTCCTTGGCAGTGTGAGGTAAAGTGTTTTATCATCATTAAAGCTCTTAACTGATGATTGCCGGTTAGAGAAAATTCCACAATAGTTATTGTATTTTTATATACATTAGTTAATTGTATTTTCATACACATTTCAGAGTTATGTTGTATCCTTGTTATATACAGAGAGTTGACATCATGTTTTTAAATGACTTTTCTTTATATTGCACTTGTTTTAAATTGTTTTATATTGAAATGATTTCAGTTAAGTATAAAGAGTTGAGTATTTCGAGTTGAGTATCTTGAGTAGATCTGTGATTCATTGAGTCGAGTATCATATATTTGAAGTTGAGTATCTAATCTTTAAAGTTGAGTATCTAATCTTGAGTTGAGTATCTAATCTTTGAGTTCAGTATCTTATCCTTGAGTAATTGTGAGTTGAGTAAATTGAGTAGTTTTGAGTATTCTTTGCGTTGAGTAAGTTTGAAAAGAGGTAAGTCTGTTTCCTTTTTATCAAGTTCAAGCTTATGTCTTATGTTTTGGAATTCCCCTTACATGCTCGTACATTTCACGTACTTAGCCATTTGGCCTGCCTCTTTTGATGATGCGGACACATGTATTGAGGATCTTCAATAGGAGTTTCTTTGATACATTTGAGAGTTCGAGTTAGCTATGGTGAGCCTCCTTGCTTTCGGAGAATTTCATTTACTTTTCAGTCTAGTCAGGATGTTGTGACTTTTGTCCCGACTTCCATCTTTGTCATCTAGAGACTTCATAGATAGCCAGTTTAGTTAAGAAGTCTATATTATTCATTTATTTTATTAAATGTTTTAAAGATTTAAGTTGCCTATTTTATGGCGGGTTTAATATATTATTTTATTTAGGGTTTTTCATTTGAGTTAAAGGTTTGTATTTCAGTTTCATGAATTTTGTTCAATTTTTAAGCTTTTGTATGTTTGAGTTAGTCTTCCGCTTGTAGTCAGCTAGGATGAGGGTTCACTTGGGGACCAACAATGGTCTTGGAATGCCAACCACGTCCAGGGTGTAGACTTGGATCGTGACAATTACAATATCTCTATCTAGTGGTCGATGATTGATACCAAATCGGTACATAACGCGAATGAACGAGAATGAGTTCAGATCAAGCTCGAAATTGATAAAATGTATTTATAGTCCTTCTAAACTATAAAGATGATCTAAAATTGAGTAATGAAGTGATTTTGAAAGACTTTTGCAAGCTTCAAGAATAGAGGGAAATTTTTTTCTTTGAAACTTTTTGAAAGAAAATGGTGTACAAATGGAAGCCATGACTATATGATGATGATTTCACCTCCGAAAACTAAAATATCGTCGAAAAAGTCGTCGAAATCAGCTAAATCGGCTGCAAAAAGGGGAGCATTTTTGTTTCTTTTGGGAGAGCTTTTCTCCAGTAAAACTTTTTAATAGATGAAAAAATAAAAAACAGTTCCAAATTTGTGTTGGATGAGTAGGAAACAAAAGTGTAGTATCAAAAACTTGAGAGTAGGGTGTTGTATGTTTTGGACGAATATTGAGTAATGTCATATGGTGTCTAAAGTACCAATTCTTTTGAGACTTATGTCTAAATGTTTAATTAAGTTTGAAGAGTGGCTATTTTGCCAACTCTCCCTAGTAACATTTATTATTACTTCTTCATTTCATGTTCCAACTCCTAGTCATAGAATGGGGTCATGGTGGAGTTGAATAGCCTTATCTTTGTTAGTATTTTGTTGGGTTTAGGAAAAAAAAGAGGGTTTTAGAGAAAAAAGCAATTGTTGTACTATTTTTTTTATTTTTAATTGATTGTAGCAAGATGTTTATGCTTATAATATTTTGGTATAATGAATCATTGAGCTCTTTGGAACTCTGTTTGTAATAGAACTTTTATTACTTCTTTGTATGTGAGCGTTAGTAAAATATTAGAAAGTTGATGAGCCAAAATTGTCATCTTGTACTAAAAGTTAAGAAATTTTACCATTATATTATATTATCACTATACATATTTTATATATTTATTTCTCTGTAGAGTTGTACCAATAGCATCGAAAATTGTACTACACTATTGAGTCTATTCAATGATAAATAAACATGTGTACTACACGTGTTCTGCTTCCTCTTATTTTTAATTATTTTGCTTTAGTTCTTTGATCAGTTTTCATATTTTACGTTATTCTCCCAATTTTCTCTCTTGGGAGACGGAGAAGAAGAGACTTACAAATGAAGGTGTTATATATTCTAAGAGGAAGAGCAAGTTGATGAAAAATTAAAGATGAGTGATTTTACTTCTGAATTGGTGATGAAATTTCACATTTTTTTTAAACGATTTGGACTCGTGGTCCTTTATTAAATCAAGCCATTGGGCTCAAAATGTTTAAAATAAAACAGGACACTTGGTTAGCCCAAGTGATCAATTATGATAAAAACAAAAATAACAAAGACCCTAACAAATAGAGTTTCCAAATTGCATTTTCAGCTCCTTCTTCACTGAAAATGTTCTGTCTTGTGCCCACTAACAGTGACCTTCGCTTCTTTATCCTCTGGGCGATTAACATTTTCCGCTGAAGGTTGTTGTACCTTCTTTTCATTTCTTTGTTGATTCACCTCATTCTGCAGTTTCAATACCCTCTCTGGAGCTAGATCGAAAGTATGAACCTTGTACAGGTTTGTCGATCTCATGGTAAACATTGTTTTTGTTGTTAATTTTCCTTGTCCTGATTCTTATCGAAGGAATTTGTTGCTTGTCTATATTCTCTATTCTCCTTCCCCAACTTGGCAACTGATTAAATTCTTGAAATTGTTGTTTTTCTGCTGTTCCAATAGTTACGTTAGCAATGTAGTCTGCTTCTCTGAATGTTTGCTTGATTTGAACATTAATATGTTTCATTATCTCCTGACTATCTTACACTCTTTCCCATGGTATTCTCCAGTTTCTGATTAGCATATTCTTTAAACTAAGTGAGTCTGTTTCAAGGATGACTTGCTGAAATCCATTCCCTAGACAAAATTTCAATGCCTTTCATCTAGACATTGCCTCTGCCTCCATATTGGTAGCCACCCCTGTGTCTTCTCCCTCAGCATACACTAGATATCCATTGCTGTTTCTCATACAAAATCTCTGTCCCGGGTTACCTTTACTAGCACCATATGTGTTGCATTTAATCCATCCTTCCTTCGGTAGTTTCTAGTTCACTATATGATAGTGAAGAGTAGGTTTGTATCTCTGTAGCATGTCACATTTGACTAGGAATTTGGAGGTAGTTTTTCATTCCAAAGGTAAATTTCTAGGCGTTCCTTTCAGTTTTTTGGGTTTAATTATTTTTTATGAGATATTGATTTCTAATTTAGTAACGTCAAAATTGCCTTTTTACTTCTTTTTTTTTTACGTGTTTTTGGTTTGGGAATTGGAAAAAGTTAACAGGAATCCTATTACTATGAAATGGGTGCAATAAGAAAGAAAAAGAATGAAGTAAAACTCTGCAGAAATCTTCTGAGCTTTAAGCACTCAACTGATTTTGCATATATGTCTACTCATTACTATTTCAGCTCAATTTTTTAATTGTACATTGTATTAGAAAGAATTCAATTAGAATACAAAAAGGCTCTGTGAGCAAAATTCTCAAAGGTTAGTACTATATGGAAGCTGATAGTCATTTCTGGCGATTTCCCTCCCTTGTTTTTCTCCGCAAATTGTCTCGTTGACAAGTTTTCATTGTTCTGCATACTACTATGCTGCAAAATTTGATTGAATTTCTCATTGACACTTCTCTAAGAGGTCTCAACAGTTCCGAGATCGTTTTACTATTGAATTTTGAGTCTTATATAAGATGCCTGATTTTCTTAAGGCTATACTTGAAGTTTCTGCACAATTTATCTCGCTTGTGCCTTGTTAATTATTCTTTTGGACATGCATATGCATTTGTTTGAGCAAAGTGTTTCTAAGCATTAGTTATAACTTATATCTCTAGAGCATATATTTTGGATGTGTGTGCTTGTATGGGTATTAATATCCTTTGGTCCAAATAGCTCTCCTGAATGTATTCTTTCATACTTTTTCTTTGCTTGGTATTATCATAAACGAAATAACCAAAATTGGGACAGAGGAGAGCATTTTCCAAGCAAACATCTAAAGAGTAGAGTACTAACTAATACAAATATTGTGCTTGACAGAGCATAACCAAAAGATATCGACTCAAAGATTCATATATCATGATAAAACTATCGTCCAAATATAATAATTGGGGGATTTAGAGTTACTGAACCCTTTACTTCATATTGTTGGAGTGCTAATATTAACATAATATGAGCTCGTCCTTGTCATAATTTGTTCATTGGGTGCCACTGCATCTCTTATCTATTCAATAACAAACAATATCTACTATTGGTTGTTGGATATCTGATCAAAACAGGCCCAAAAGAGGTTTAGTATGGTCGTTTAGTTTCATAAACTTACCAACTATCAGTCTTCCAACGACATGACATACTCTAAATTTTAGTCGTGTGTATTAGAGCTTAGATACATCTCCGTTTAAGATAGAATGTCATTTTAAGCATATCTAAATTTAATGCCTGAACATTGTGATCTAACATAATGAAAAATCTTCTAATTTCACTAATTATAGTTTTATACCTTTATCCTGTATTTCTTTTGAGAAAGAAAGCTAATTATAGGAGAATTGTTGAGTGTAGCTTCTACAATTGTTGAATGTAACTTCTGATGGTTTCTTTTACAAAAGGTAGCAAAAGCTTATGTTATAACTAGATAGATGATTTTAATAAGATCTCATTTCTTCATTGTCCTCTTGATAACAGAAAGAAAGAAGAAAACAAAAGGAAAGCATATTGAGACCAGACGAAAATTACCATAGACAGAAAATGCAAGGTGTTTGTTGATATCTCTTATACCTATGTTGTTCGGACTCTTTAAAAATTTTTACAGGTGCGTGTCGGATCCTCCAAAAATAGTATATTTTTGAAGGATCCCACACCAATGCGGCAAAACTTTTTCAAAGTTCGAGCAACTTAGTCTCATACTAACTAACAATGAAATTTCCAAAACATTTTGATATATTGAACAACCACTTGATAGGTACATCATCGTGATTAAAACAAATTCAAAGAAGTACTTTCTGTTTCTTCTACTGAATAACTTTGATAAAGTAAATACTATGCATTGAAACTTATATATGTTGAGATCCTCAACTAATGAATTGCCAAGTGTGGTCCTAATGCTATTGTTAAATGACCAGTCATTTATTTTACATTTATATTGCAAGAGAAGCTTTGAAGAAACTTTTGATCCATAGTAGTTTTTTGGAGTTGCCTCATCGAATTTTGTGAGAGACAATACTTTTGTGGCAAGTAATATCCAATATACTACATTTAACTTGGATCAATATTAATGTCTATTTATAGTGTGCTCAATGTTTACCTCTCTTTCTACTATCTCGACTTTTTGGTGTAAATGTGTATCTTTGTTTCTAATAATTTGTGAAGTGAAAAAAAAAGTATTCATAGAAGCAGAACTATTTTTTGTTATAACTAAGAGTTGAATAGATGGAATAACTTCATGCTTCCTTCCAAGTTCCGAGTAAGTTGGAGATAATTTTGAGAGTACAATCTTCATTCATTTTTGTACAACTAACAGAGCAGTGTTCATACCCTCTTTAGTACTATTTTTTACTGCTTTTTGTACGATGAATATAATGGTGTTCGGCTGTTCGCACTCCTTATGTCTTATTTTAAAAGAGAGTAATGTATATTTTGATGTCTTTTTATGTTCTCGATAATTGTGTGGCGTTTTGAAGTGTGATTGTGTGTCTTTACATCTGGTGAACTGTGACCTTGAAGGAAAAGAAACACTAGTATAAATCAAACTTATTTAGTCGAAGAAATATCTTTACTGTGTGGTGTATAATATATATATATAGAAGTGAAGTATGAAGTATTACTATGAAGAGTAATTTAATTAATCGTGACTCGGCTAATCATTATAGGGAACTACTCTTTGGGCTTACAACCCAGGAGGTGTGCTTTAAGATAGAGTTTCTATATTTTTATAGTAACATAAAATATGATTTTGAAACTTTACTATTGTATTTTACACAAATTGATTATTGGCCAGAAGATTGTAGTTATGAAATAATGATTTAAAATGACTGTTGGGGAGCTTTTTTAACACGGGAGGAATTTTCAAGTTCTTTTGTTATGTTTTTTGGCGATAAAGAAAGTACATCAAGTTATGTACTTTCCTCTCATGTTGTCACTTCTGCAGGGTGTGCAACTATCCCTTGCCTCAATAATGTTCGCTCCTCGGGGACAACTAAATTTCAAAGAGGCGCTGACTGGGGAGGTAAAGCAAGTAGTATTACAGAGCCGTAGCATTTCTCTTGCATATATTTTCTAATCGTAGGTAGCAAAGCTGATATCTTTCACCTTTCTATATCTTTCACCTTTCTATATTTAGGTGTTGAATGAACAGTGTACTGGTCTGTCTCATTTACGGAAAAAAGATCTATGGTGACGCCTATTTGGGATTTACAAGTGAAACATCAGTTTCCTAAAGCTCCATATAATCATATTAGTTCAGCTGCTCACCGCCCCCATGATGAAGTCCCAGAGATACGCCATTTTGCTTAGCTACACATATGCTTTTGACATTCGATCTTGTCCGTATATGTGCTTTCTCATTGCTACCATCTCTTCACTTTGTGTTCAAACTATGTACACATATGCAAAAAAGTTTAAACATGATATAGGAGGACCTCTTTATTAGAGCTTTCAATACTTTTTCCTTAATATACAAAGGCTGTTAGGATTTGTCCAATTTTTATTTTGGTGAAGTTGATTCTTTTAACAAGAAGATATCTCTCATTTCAAGTTTGTTTTTGTGCCTTTAGTTTGCTTTGTGAAAGTTTGAAGTTGATATACTGCAAATTTGTGACTGCATTGGGAGGTAGTAATTGTTTATACATATAAAGAGGAAAGGAAAGAATACAAAATTGTGTTCCCCTGCTCTTCTTAAAATTTCTCTTTCAACAGAAGTGGAAGGCTAAAAATAAAAATATTGCTAACAAAAGGAAAGAGATTCTTTTTGAAAGAAACTCAAAAGTAAAATTACATCCTTTTTAAAAAAATAATAAAAAATAGAGAGAGTATCAAAAATGTACTATATATTAAAAAAAGGGCATTCTTTAAGTGAAAAAAAATAATTAAAAATCTGGAACTCACCATAGCTGTCTACCCATCAACACCATACCTATCATTTCCTCAGTCTCACTGATCTCTTCCTCAATTAAGAGTTGTTGATAGTGGAGGAGTACTCATATCATTTGTCATGCCATATCTTTTATTTTCTTTATAATTTTTCAGTGAAACATTGTGCAAGGATCATGTATGCAAACTATGCAAGCTGACTGTCCTGCCTTCATTAGTTACAAGGATGAGATGAAATTGAAAACGGAAAAGGGCCTAAAATATCCTTAAAGTATTGAAAATGGTACAAAATTACCCTTCATCCACCTATTGGCTCCAAAATGCCCTTTTCATCCACTTATTGGCTCCAAAATACCCTTGTCATCCACCTTTGAGTTCAAAATTGACCACTTATTTAATGATTTTGAATTTAAACTATTTAAATATTTTTTAAAATACATGATGCTCAACTATTAGTTATAATTTAATTTATTTGTATCATTTATAAACCAACTCACTACCCACTAATTACTAACTAAACCCCACCCAATTAATAATCCAACTATTGTATCAAAATCGTCATAAACACTACTAAAACACGATGAAATTATAGGTTCCTAAAAGTGACATCCAAAATTATTCGAGTCCGAATTAAGGCCCCAATTGAATTTATGTTGAGCCGCTTATTTAGGAGGACACTTTCAATAAGATTCTCTTTCAAGATTGAATTAGAAATTTATGATTAAATGTAAAGAATTAATATATCCCG